GATGGTGGCGAGGGCCGCCCAGGCGTTGGTAGCCAAGGGGGTGGTAGCCAAGGCGGTGGCAGCCAGGACGGTGGCAGCCAAGGTGGTGGCAGCCAAGGCGGTGGAAGCCAAGGCGGTAGAGGCGCCGATGCCTAAGATAATGGATCATGTATATGTGTACGTATGTTTTCTATATATATTTTTGTTTTGTTGATTCTGCTAAGCGAACTGCCTTTCCTCCTTAGAGGGGGCGACGTCTCATTTTACTCCTTAAGGTCGTTGTCCCGACAAATTCCTTGAAATTTGCCAATGTTTTTTGGTTTAGTGCTCTGTGTCACTCTTTTTAACACTAGGTCTCCTAGGACAAACCTTCTTTGTTTGACCTTTTTGTCATAGTACCGGGTTGTCTTTCTTTGGTAGGCAGCGAGTCGCAATTAGGAGTCGAGCCTTTTTTCTTTCAGTAGGTCGAGCTCTCCGTCCATGGCCTCGATATTTAAGTCGGCGTTATACACGACCGTTCTTAGAGTCGGCGTCTCAATCTTCACAGGGAGAACAACATCGATCCCGTATGCCATAGAGAAGGGTGTTTCACCCGTGGTAGTTTGACTCGTCGTTCTGTATGCCCACAAGACTTTGGGAAGCTCTTCCGCCCATTTTCCTTTTAAGTCATCGAGCTTCTTCTTCAGGGTGTACTTTAGGATCTTGTTGATGGCCTCCACTTGGCCATTGGACTGCGGGTGTATCGGGACTGAGAAATCCTTTCGTATGCCAAAATCATCACAAAACTTGCGCGTTGAGGCGTTGTCGAACTGCTTCCCATTATCGGACACGATTGAGTGTGGAACTCTGAACTTGCATACAATATTATTCCATATGAAGTTGGTGCAGGCTGCCTTGGTGGTTGTAGTGAGAGCTTTCGCCTCGGCCCATTTGGTGTAGTAGTCCACAGCGACGATGGCAAACCTAAGGCCCCCGGGTGCAAGGTGTAGAGGTCTAACCAGGTCGATCCCCCATTTGGCAAGGCCATGGGCTAAGAATGGAAGTTAGGTTTTCTGGGGGCGCTCTAGGAATTGTGGCATATCGTTGGCACTTATCAATGCCGAGCGTATTGGAACGCGTCCTTTTTAAGCGTAGGCCAATAGTACCCCTGCCTTAAAACCTTAAGAGCTAGAGATTGTCCCCTAGTATGGTTACCACACACTCCTTCATAGATCTCCCTGAGGACTTCCTGCGCCTCATGATCATTTAGGCACCGCTGCAGGGGCATTGAGAAGCCTCGTCTGTATAGCAGACCGTCATACAATAGGTATCTGGCAGCTCTATACTTGATCCTTCTGGCTTCGTCTCTGTCACTGGGCAGCTCTGCATCCATCAGGTACCGGATGAGGGGTGTCATCCAATCTTCGGTTGTCTGGATAGTCAGGACTTCTGCTGCCTCGTCAATGGTCGGCCGTTCCAATTCTTTTATGGGGATGACCCCTAGCAGGTCCGAATCCTTTGATGATGCTAGCTTAGCTAGGGCGTCGGTATTTGTATTCTCGGCTCTCGGCACTTGTCGTATCTCATAGCTTTTGAATTTGGTGAGCTCTTCCTTTAACTTCCTTAGATAGGCCCCCATTTTTTCTCCTCGCGCCTGATACTCCTCCGTCACCTGCCCGACCACTAATTGTGAGTCACTAAAAATTTTAAGTTTCTCAATTTTTAGATGATTTGTTAACTGTACTCCTGCGATCAGCGCCTCATATTCCGCTTCATTGTTCGACGCTTTGAATATGAATCGTACCGCCGAGGTGATTTTGTGGCCATCTGGGCTTATTAGCATGACGTCGGCTCCTGATCCGGTTTCGTTCGACGCTCCGTCCACGTAAAGCTTCCACCTTATTTCATTAACTTCTTCGTCGGTGTCTGTCGTTCGTCGATGGGAGAACTCAGCCAGGAAGTCTGCCAACGCTTGGCCCTTGATTGCCATCCTTGGTACGTATTTGATGTCAAATTGGCTCAGCTCCACCGACCACTTTAAGAGTCGACCGAAGGTTTCAGGCTTTTGTAGTGCCTGCCTCAACGGGTGGTTCGTCAGGACTTGTATGGTGTGGGCCTGGAAATAGTGCCGAAGCTTCCTCTAGGCCACCATCAGGGCGAGAGCTAATTGTTCCATCTGGGTATATCTTGATTCGGCGTCCAAAAGCCTCTTGCTCACGTAATAGACTAGCGACTGGATTTCTTCTTCTCTGATCAATATTGAGCTTAAGACGTGTTTCGAGATGGAGAGGTAGAGGCTTAACTTCTCACCGGGTATGGGCTTTGATAGGATGAGGGGTCTGTCAAGGTGCTCCTTTAGCTTTTGGAAGGCCTCTTCATAAGGAGGCGTCCATTCAAAACGTCTCCCTCCTTTCAAAGTATCAAAAAAGGGGACGCATTTATCCGTTGCTTTAGATATGAACCTATTGAGGGCGGCGACGCATCCGGTGAGCCTTTAGACCTCTTTGGGCTTCGTGGTAGACCTCATGTCCTGCAAAGCCTTTATTTTCTCTGGGTTAGCCTCTATCCCTCGGTGGTTGACCATGAAACTAAGAAACTTTCCCGATCCGACCCCAAAGGCGCATTTCTGTGGGTTCAGCTTTATGCGGTATTTCCTTAATACGCCGAACATCTTGCTTAAGTGGACGCTCTTCACCAACATGTCATCGACGTATACCTCCATCGTTCATCCGATTTGGTTAGCAAACATCTTGTTCACTAGCCTTTGGTAGGTGTCCCCTGCGTTCTTCAGGCCAAAGGGCATTACCTTGTAACAGTAGAGGCCCCTATCCATTATGAACGACGTGTGCTCTTCATCAGACGGATGCATTGGGATTTAGTTGTAGCCGAAGTAGGCGTCCATGAAGCTTAGCAGCTCGTGCCCTGCGGTGGCGTTGACCATCTAACCTATTCGAGGAAGTGGAAAACCGTCTTTCGGGCAGGCCTTGTTGAGATCGATGAAGTCGATGCACGTTCTCCATGTCCCGTTTGGCTTTATTACTAGGACAGGGTTTGAAACCCATTTGGGATAATGAGCTTCCCTAATGAAACCATTTTTTACTAGCTTGTCAACCTCTTCCTTTAAAGCCGTGTACCTTTCAGGATTCATCGGTCGGCGCTTTTGTCGCCTTGGGGGAAACGTGGAGTCGACGTTCAGAGCGTGGCACATGACTCGGGCGTCAATACCTTCCATGTCCACATGCGTCCAGGCGAACATATCCAGATTTTTCCTTAGGAATTCTTCGACCCTAATTTTGAGCGCTGACAGTAAATCTGACCTTAGCTTCAGTATCCTCGTTGGTTCCCGCTCATCCACCTAGACCTCCGCCAGCTGCTCCATTGGCTGGGACCACGTCTCTTCTATAACCCTAGGGTCTAGGTCCTTAGCAGGTCATTGTCGCACCATCATCGCTTCTTGTTTCCCCGGCTAATCATACCCGCGAATGGCGTCCGTGTAGGCTACCCTAGACTCGTATTGGTTGCTCTTCATCTCACCTACGCCATTGGGGTTGGGAACTTTACCTTCTAGTGGTAGATGGAGGTTATTGCCCTTAGTGCTTAGAGAGTCAGCCTTCTAATTACCGCATTGTACTGCGAGCCTCCCTTTATCACCACCAAGTTTGCCATTGTGGTTGCCTGCCTTGGCTTCTCTCCCGTCGTGATTGGCAGTCGGATCGTCCTTTGGGGGATGACCAAGTCTCCCGTGAACCCAAACAACGGTTGGGTCGTCTTCTCGAGTTGCTCTTTTGGGATTCCCATCTTCCTTAAGCAGTCGGAGTACAAAATATCTACCGAGCTCCCATTGTCTACTAGGATCCTACACGGTATGGTTCCCGATAATTGCCTCTACTACCAAGGTATCGTTGTGGGGGAAATGGACCCCGTTGGCATCTTCTTTCGTAAATGCCACATCGGTACTGCTAAGTTTCGGCACTTTGGTAGAGGAGAGGGCTCAAAACCTCTCCTGGTACACCCCTCTGGCCTCATGGGCGTAACTCTTTTGGGCTCTCCTTGAGTCCCCCCAAGGTAGGGTCCTCCCTGAATGGTCCTTATAACGCCGACCGGCTCGCGGTCATCACCTCGCCGGTTATCCTCTCGACGTCGACCATCATTCCCTGGACCATGGCCTCGACGCTCCATCCTGAACTCTTGCAGCCTCCCCTCACGGATCAACCTCTCGATCTCATCCTTCAGGTCAGCGCAGTCGTTCGTGTTATGGCCGATGTCACCATGGAACCGAAAAAACTTGCTCGGGTTCCTTCGGTTTGGATTCGACTTCATTGGTTTCGGTTGACGCAGTAAGTTACCTCGCCTAACCTGATTAAACACCCCCTCGACGCCCACAGTGAGCTTGTGGTAGGTGTCGTACCTTTGGAAGGGTCGAGGCCTCCGATTTTCCTCTGGCCTCGGCTTCTTCGTTTCTGGGGGGTTTGGCGCTGGCGTTCTCTACTTATCTTTGCTTCCCCTGCCTCGTCGCTTCCGGTTATCTTATTTCCCGAAAGTTGATCCCTATTCTGCCCCTTTATTTTTGTTGGATTAATGCTTGGGATCGTTCGCATCGGCTTCCTCGGCGTTGATGTATCCGTGTGCCCGTGCCAAGAGTTCTTTATAGGTGGATGGAGGCTTCAGGTTGAGGTCGCGTTTGAACGCCGTGGTTTTCTTCATACTGGACAGGGCTCCCATCAGGGCCTCTTGGTCCGTCATGTTTGCTGTGGCGGCGACGGCTTCTCCGTATCTTACGAGCCATTCTTTCAATGACTCGTTCAATTTCTAGTACACCATTGTCAGGTTCTGCTTTGGCGGGACATACTTCTTTACCCTGATAAACTGGAGGGAGAAGGCTTCCTTTAGCTCCTCCCAACTAGAGATAGACTCAGGTTTGAGCGTGCGGAACCATCTCCGGGCAGAATCTGTCAAGTGGTTCCGAAACGCCCGGCACATTATTTCCTCCGCGTACCCATGTAGGAGCATGTGCCCCGTGTACATTTCCAGGTGATCGTCAGGGTCCCCTCTGCCTACGTACGGTGGGATCATCGGGGACTTGTACTTGTTGGGTAAGGGTGGCGCCATGATCTCTGCAGTAAAAGGATGGTCGTTTGTTCGGCTGGGTGTGATGTCGACGTTGACCACCTCAGCCACCTACCCTAGATTTTTCTGTAGGTGGCTCACCTGGCTCTTGACATCTTTTTTCAAGCTAGCAATGTCACCTGAGAACTTCTCTTCTAGGCTTGTCATGCGTTCCATGATAGCTTTGGCCTCTTCCGTAGAGATTGCTGAGGTGCCCCCTTTCAAGGTTGCTGCTTTCCTCCAGTTCAACTGATTCCTAAGGTCTTCGCCCTCCTGCACCGACCCCGAATCTCCTAGGATATTTCTCCCCGGGTTTCGAGGGGGCGCCTCAGGGTTGTCCAGGCCGTCTAACGCTCTTCTCTCTTGGGCTCGTCGCCTGGCAGCCCTCTGTCAGCTGCCAAGGGACCCAGATGGTCGAGGCCTCTGAATGCCTCCCCTGGTGTTTATGCTGTCCCTAATCCCTTCCAAGGCACCTTGGCAGTCACCAGAGTTATGGTTCCCAGCCAGGGCAGCTCCTGGTGGTCTCGGGGCATCTTCCAAAGGGGGCATAGAGTTTCTCCCTTCTATCCGCTCGACAATGGTCGTTAGCCCCAGGACCAAGTTGGTCAGAGTGCTCACCTGGACTTGCAACTGTACCGGGTCAAGCTGTGGCGCGCCTGGGGGTAGGACCTCATCACTCACCGGGGGTTGATTCCCCTGGTCGGGCTGGTTCCCACCACTCCCGCCAATGATTGGACGCGTAGTATTTTCTTCCGTCTCGCTGTTTTGATTTGAAGCGTCATTTCTTCTCCTTCGTGGCATGATTGCTTTCTTCCGGGGTTAAACGTGTGAACTAGAGATTCTGGGTTCGGTCCCTAGCGGAGTCGCCAATTGTTGACGGTGGAATTTCGTCAACAAAATCGTGCTGGATTACCCACAGTGGCCCGTTGCGTTACCGGTTTGGAACTAGTATTTTTGTTGGTAGTAGTGGGAAAATGACATAGATGGGTTAGAAAGGTGAGCAACTGACTATTTCTGTTGGTACCGGTTTGAGTCTTTTAATACTTTATAAGACAATATAAATAATACAGAAACGTAAAATAAAAGAACACAAGAGAAATGATATCACAGTTTGGTAACAACCTACTCCGCGGGGCCACGCCCAGATGATGAACAATCCAGTAAGAACTCTTTTACAATTCAATTGGACTTAATCTACCCAAGACTCCCTCTCTAAGAAGACGCCTATGAACTTGTAATTTCTCAATGGACTTGAACAGCGAGATCCCCTCGACTTTTTAACATTGGAATCCCTCCAACTAAGTTTTTCTCTTGAAAAATACTTAAATCATCTCTCTTGAATACAAGTGATCACCTCTCTTGCAACCCAACAAAACTAATCAAAAGGTGTACAGAGATACAAGAGATTCTTTGAATAAATAAGCAAAAATGATAACAACTTGACGACCTCTTAAATTAATTCGCTGAACCAAATCTGTTGCAAATTATTGTTGCAACAATAACTGCAACATAGCTGTCAAGGTCGACTTTCTCAAAACCAGTCCGAATCAACCTGCTATCATGCTGAAACCTTTCCAAAACTGACATATGAACCTGGACAAGTTCTTAGGAGACAGAGGAAGATCATCTAGCTACGAAATCTCCATAAAAAATCAATCAAATTAATTTACCATCCTTGGATCAATAGTTGACTTTCAAAAATAGAAACTAAAATAAGTTTTCAGATCTTTCAGAAAAACTTTCATAAGGAACTTGCCAGCTGCACATCTATTCTCAAACACAATCAACCAGCCAATCATTCCCAAAATAATGCCAATCATAAAATGATTATAATAAATACGTAATTGGGGAAACAAATCCCAACAATTTCATTAAAGACTTGGT